TCGCCTCCTGCCGTCGACGTCTCGCCTGTCCGGCTTGTAAAAACGAGTCCACGACGAGAGCCTCAACGCGACACCCGCCGACGGTATCCGGATTAATTGCGACACGTCCCAGAATCGGTCTTCTCTGCCATCCTGCTGTCGTCGCCCACAGAATCGTCGGTCGGGTCAAAAGGGTCGCCGGTCGAGAGCGAGAAAGCTCTCTCTATCTTCGTTCCTCTTTCTCTCTCCCTCTCTCGTTTTGCAGTTTATCGGCACCGGCCAAGCGACGGCTCGCATTCCGACGATCCCGCCTTTTGACCTCATAAAAGCAATATCCGCCGCGGGAATTCGTTTCCCGACTTCGCGCGAAAGGTCTTCCGGACGTAACCGCGAAGTGCCCTCTCCCTCCCCTCCTCCCCCGTTCTCTCTAACTCGCATTTTACGCCGGGTCATAAAAAGAAGATCGCGTACGTATAGATATAAAGTGCCCTAGTTCCATCGTATTATTTCGCAATGGCAGATTCCGCGATCAATTTCGCGTCGATTTACCTTCGGCGAAGATATCGCGAGGGAGGTGCTCCGTCGCTCTTCCCCGCATAGAAAATTTCCTGGAGTCTGATTGGGAGCGACACTCGATTCTGCAAACTAATTATGGATTCCCGGTATAATGTTTCCAACGTGCGGTTTTAATGGAAAAAAATTCAACGAAACATATATTGACTTTCTCAATAATTTCAGTAAAATATTTAGTATTCTAAAAATATTTTATTTTTTATTTTATCGAATATATTCTTTATATTTCCATTAAATATATTCTATATTTTATGAAAACGCTACTGTTCATATAATACACTGAAGGAAAAATTACCTTAAAATCAACAAATATTTCTTTGATGGGTGCCATTAACATATTTATTTAAATCTAAATTCTCTTTATTTAAACCAAATATTGTTTAAATATTGTTTGTTAATCAGGTAAACAATATTTGATTTAAATAAAGAGAATTTAGATTTAAGTAAATATGTTAATGGCACCCATCAAAAAAATATTTGTTGATTTTAAGATAATTTTTCTCTCAGTGTATATTTGGAGAAATTTTGGGAAATTTCTATGCGAGAGTTATCACGCGACGTCGCGATTTTGAACGTGGCGTATCCTTGCGAGCGAAAGAGTAAGTAAATTAAAGTTTCACTCGGGTTTACTCGCGGTTAATCACCGGCTATTTTCTTATAGAAGAGGCTTCTCGATGCCGTTAACCCGAGTGATGTCCGAACGTCGTCTTGTCGGCCGACAGAGGCGCCGGTTACGATTGCAGGATTATGCGATGATCACGACACGATCATTTCGCCCGGACACCGTCGACGGCGGTGCACGATAAGTGCATCGTCCGTCCATAATTCGTTCGATAAATGTGTACGATGCCTAGCTTTAACACGACGCGCGAGTTAGACGAAGGAGATGTCGGGGCGCGCGCAGCCGTCGGCTTTCCCACGAAATCACGTAGCGCGCTAACTACGGTCCTTGATATTAAATATTCATGCCGCGGGTGGACGTACACATCATCTCGATACGTAGCGATGCATGTAGCGCTCGGTATAGTTGAAGGAACATCGCAGGCGGTGCGCCGGTGGGTTCCGTCAGAATGCACCGCGTCGTGGCTGAGGCGACATTCGTTCCTGGTCGGTTCCTCTCGAGACCGACAAGAGAAAAAGAAAATCACACCGTAATCAATCGCGCGTGAGCCTAACGCCGCGACGTTACTACCACGAAAATGCTGAACAATGCTCATGAGGCGCAGGTAAAGGGATGAAACTGCACGCCAAGAGAGAGAAAAGTGCTACGTGAGAAAACGATCCGACTAAATATTCATTCCACAGTCCGGGTTAGCTTAATCCCAATCAGCTATCTGTATGTATTGTCTGTTTGTATAAAGTGATGTTGTTGAATCCTGATTGTTAGTAAGGTTCTAATTGCTGATTGTTTTTGTCATTAATAAGGTCTTGATTACCACGTTGTATCATATGATTTATCACACATGCCGAGAGAATACTTGAAAATTTATTTGTGTCATATGGAATTTATTTCTGTGGAATGAACTTTATATCTCGCAAATAAGTTTTCATGTATCTTTTTCTCAGTGTATGGAGAAAAAATACTTAAAAATTTATTTGTAGGGTCTAAAGTTTATTTGTAGAAATAAACTTTATTTATTTATTTATTTGTGAGATATAAGCATTATTTCACACTGAAATAAATTCTATATCCCACGAATAAATTTTCAAGTCTTTTTCGCTAAAGTACGACAGAAAAGTTTGGTTGAACCTTCAAATTTCCGGTGAAATATGAACGATTCGGAAATTCTTGTTGAAGTTATTTGAAAAAGAATTTGGATTAAATTGTCCAGATTTTCGGCTAATTTAAATAGAATTCTATTAATTTCAATTTCAGAATTTCTAAATCGTTCATATTTCACCAGAAATTGGTTTATCCAAACCCTTTTTTTCGTACAGGACTCGATGACATCTCCGAGTCAAAATTTTGATGCTACTTTGACGTTCTTAAGGATAGTTTGCGTCTACTTTGACGATTTATAGCCTAGGTAAAACTTACTTTGACGATATCGATACTCATTAATTTCTCTTTTGAACTTTTAACTCTACCTTGTTAAAATTTTGACGCTACTTTGACGTTTTTAAAAATAGTTTGAGCTTACTTAGATAATCTACAACCTAGGTGAAACCTATTTTAACGATATTAAAACTCATTTCCGAATCGAAATTTTGATCCTATGTTGAACATTGAATTCTACGCCGCAGTAGGAGCTAAGATAACAAAATAGGTAATTAATTCTAATGATATAATTTACTCCTACTTTGACCTTCATGATGTCTGAAATATATGCAACAAATAAAATGTATATTTTGTATGATATTTGACGTTTCTGTTTCGTTATTAAATTTTTTGTTCCGTTTATTTTTTTCTGTTTCGTTTATTAAATTTTTCTGTTTTTTCTGTTTCGTTTATTAAATTTTTTAAATATTTCTATAAAATACATATATTCTATGTAGGAGTTAAAGTTTGAATAGAAGTTCGCAACTGAACCTACTTTGCTTCCTAAGATCCTATTATACAACCTACTTTGAACTACTAAAGAAAGCGAAAGCGGAAATTTCAGACATCATCAGGGTCAAAGTAGGAGTAAATTATATCATTAAAATTAAACCTACTTTGCTATCTTAGCTCTTACTGGTGTAGAATTCAAGGTTCAACATAGGTTCAAAATTTCGACTCGGATCATCTTGTACAAATCAGATAATTGATTGGGATCAACTTGATCAGGACCATGGAATAAATTTCTAGTCTGGGAAGGACGAGCTCTCTCTCTCTCTCTCTCTCTCTCTCTCTCTCTCTCTCTCTCTCTCT